CTCTGACATTCATCTTCTCTTAACTGTGAGTGTAGACTACGTGAAAATGATGACAGCGAGGAAGACTGAGGTGGGTGAAAAGCTATCTGGTGCATAGCAGGTAAAACGTTAGTAGAAGACACTTGCCAAAGATATTAAAATTCATGCTATTTTTGTTTCCAAGATTTTAGCATATATAACTTAATCTCCAGTTCCTCCAAAATAGTCAACCATGAAGTACTTTAATAAAAATAAAACACAAGATGATCAAGGAAAGTGACTAATGATAAGAATCAAATCCCTGCAAATGCACTGAATTTTCATAAAAAATACTATCTGTGTGATTAAAATAGACAATGCATCAATTTTTGAGCATATTTCTTAAAAGTTAGTACTGTAGTTTGAATGTGTCCTCTTTAACTTCCTATGTTGGAAACTTAAGCCCTAGAGTCCTATGTTAACTGTACTGGAGGGTGGGAGCTTCAGGTAGCTGGTTCATGAGGGTCCTGCCCTCATTAATGGATTCACTCATTCATGGATTATTTAATAGGTTGAGAGAATGGCTTTGTTATTAAAGCAAGCTCTTTCCAGCATTCTTGCTCTATTTAACCATCTAATGCCCTTCTCCATGTTGTGATGCTGCAGAAAGGCCCCCACCCCAGATGCCAGGGCCAAGTTCATAGACTTTCCAGCTTTGAGAAACCCAAGTCAAATAAATTTCTGCTATAGTTTGGATCTTTAGGAGGCTGAGGTAGGAGAATCACCATGGGTTTGAGTAACATAGCCATGAGCCTGGGTAACATAGTTAGTTCATGGTCAGCCTCAACTATATAGTGAGACCCTGTCCATTTAAAAAAAAAAAAAAGAAAAAGAAACGGTAGACATATATATATATATATAAAATCCTGAATGTCTCCCAAAAGCCCATGTATTGATGGATTGGTCCCCAATACAGGCATTACTGGGAGGTTGCAGAACCTTTATAAAGTGGAGCTTAGTGGAGGAGGTTATGTTATTGGCGATGTACCCTTAGTTGAGATGTTAGGACCCTGGCTCTGTGATCTCTTTATTTCTTAGTTGCCATGAGGTAAGCAACATAATCTGCCATGCGCTACTGTATGACATATTGCCTTGTTACAGGCCTAAAACCAAAAGAGCCAACCAACCACGGACTGATATGTCCAAAATTGTGAGCCAAAAATAAACCTTTTCTATTTTTTAAACTGATCATCTGGGGTATTTGTTATAGGAAGAGAGAGCTAAACAGAACTTCTATTCTTTATAAACTATGAAGTTGCTGGTATTTTGTTACAGCAATATAGAACAGAACAAGACACTTAGAAACTATATACTGTTAAGTTTGTTAAGCCTCTATACTATCTAGTAAAGATCTAGATGCACTATATGCAGTGCTCACTGAATGAGTTTTTCATCATTAGAATTTTTCACACTCATTACAATGCTTGATTGTATTGTCTAATTCATTATCCCTTATATTCTCTAGTAAAATATGCACAGGAACAATGAAGGGGAAGTGTTAGTGATATATACAAGAAATTTCAAATTAGATATCCTAGGTTAAAAGCTTAAATTATACAAATTGTTCCATAAAATGCAGAGCAAAAACAATAGTAATTTAGAAGCACAAAATACAATGTACAGGCAAAATATAGAGACAACTATATAAAAACTTCCATAAAAGATTTAACAAGTTAATGCGCTATTCAAAATATATTTCTTTTTCTTTTCAATCATTTGTTGTCATTGTTGTTGTTTGAAGCAGAGTCTCACTACATAGTCCAGGCTGCCCTATGTAACTCAGGCTATCCTCAAATTCATAATCCTACTGCTCCAGCCTCCTGACTGCTGGGATGACAGGTGTGTACCACTACACCCACCTTAAGTTTCATTTTTAAAACATTGTAACATCACATGAATGATGTATGAAAGTAAGAGAAATGAAAAAACTTAAAAAGCAAGACAGTTATAAAACACAACAAATCTTTATTGTGAATAAAACTGAGATATTTGCAAAGAAAGGCCAGCTGGGAGATACATTTCAAAAAAAGCCAAGTTGAAGGTTATAAAAGATAGCCTGGGGGGGGGCTGGGGATTTAGCTCAGTGGAAAAGCGCCTGCTTGGCAAGCGCAAGGTAGTGAGTTCGATTCCTGGTACCGGAAGAAAAACAAACAAAAAAGAATATTTTAAAAGCGCCTGCCTGGCAAGCACAAGGTCGTGAGTTCGGTTCCCGGTACCGGAGAAAAACAAAAAAACAAAACAAAACAAAAGAGATAGCTTAGGGCCGGATAGCTTAGGGCTCAGAGGCACATCACCTGCCTGGCAAGCACAAGGTCCTAAGTTTGAGTCCTGGTTAAAGAGGAGAGGACAGGAGAGGATGAGAGAGGAGAGGAGGAAAGGGGAGGGGAAGGGAGGGGAGGGGAGAGGACAGGACAGGAAAAGAAGAAAGAAGAAAAGAAGAGAAAAGAAAAGAAGGAAGGATGGAAGAGAAAGAAAGAAAGAAAGAAAGAAAGAAAGAAAGAAAGAAAGAAAAGAAAAAAAAGAAAAAAAGAAAGAAAAAGAAAGAAAAGAAAGAAAGAAAGAATACAAGCTTAATGCTTTTGCTTAGTCTGATGTGAGACTGCATTTCAAGTAATTCAGAAATAGCAGTTATCTTTCAATTATTCAATATTTACTGGGCATTGTTGCACATGCCTGTAATCCCAGCACTCTGGAGGCTGAGGCAGGAGGATTGCCATGAATTCAAGGCTAGCATAGACTAGGTAGTGAGTTCAAAGCCTGCCTGAACTACATAGCAAGGCCTTGTCTCAAAATCAATCAGTCAATCAATCAATCAATATTATATGGGCAAATTCATGGTCAGTAAGCGCTTTAACCTTCAAAACTAATGAGCATGGACCAGAAGGAAGGAGCTAAGGAAAGAATATACCTCTGTCTCCCCAACTGGTAATTCCCACATGATAGACTTGTAATTTCTTACTCCTAATCTACAATCTTCGTTTTCTTTATCCTTTATCCTTCTCCTCAGAGCCAAACCCCAAAAATACCTCCAAAATATACAAACTAAAGCAATGCACATGCTATTGCAAAACTAAGTTTCAGGACAAGAAGTTTGTAGGCATCACTACAAAAAAATTGCTGCCTCTTCCCCTATTCTTGACATAGAAATCATGAAATCATGATGCTGCCGCCTAATACGATGTATTGATGGCACACACTACAATTGTTAAAAGCATGGATTTAGGGCCAGGCTATATAAGTATTTCTAAATTTTCTTAAGTGCCAAAACACAAATATAAAGCAGCAATATTTTAACAAAACAACCCTTTCAAAAGTGCACCTGGTTTGTAAAAATTTGTTACTGAAACCATCCTGGAAGTACATTTGGCTCAAATTATCTAAAATATTAAAAACAGGGGCTGGGGATTTAGCTCAGCGGCAAAAGCGCCTGCCTGGCAAGCGCAAGGTCGTGAGTTCGGTTCCCGGTACCGGAGAAAAACCAAACCAAAACAAAAAAAAAACAACAACAATAAAATCTTAAAAATATATATGTAATATGACACAAGTTCAACTACAAATTTATTCAGTTTCTTCCAGGAAAATAATAGGTTAAATACGCAATATTTTTACACAAGAATGTTCTCTACGATAATGTCTACACTAGCAAACTATTGGAAAAATTTTTCATATTCAACAACTTAAGAATGGTAGGTAAAATTATGTTATAACTACAAAATGAAATACTATGCAAACTTTTTTTAAATGAACAGCCACATTTAGATAGACAGGAAAAGATTCATGATATATTGTTAAATTTAAAAAAGATTAAAAATAGTATGTATAAAATCATCTCATTTGTATTAAAAAAGTTTAATCTCATAATTATATCCCTGGAATAATATACCTAAAAATTCAAAACAAGTATCTCTGAGTGATGGCATTAAAGGTCATTTCAGATTGAGTAACCCTTTTTTGAACAGGTTAGGATGTGGAGTACTGTCAGATCTCAGAATGTCAGACTCTGGGGTTTTCCATTGGACTTTTCTGATTGAGCATCCCTAATCTAAAACTGAAATTCAAAATGCTCTGAAACCCAAAACTTTTTCATGTCATGTGGGTGTTCAAATTTTGAAGTGTGTTAGATTTGAAGTTTTTTGATTAGGAACCATCAACCTGTAATATGGTTTTCTTTCTAAAATTTCTTTACCTCCTCATTTTATTACAATGAGCATTATTACTTTTATAAGCTAAAAATCTTTTTTTATTAAAAATACTAATAGTCATAGATTTGCACAAAGCACAAGATAACTAAGAACTATGTAAGTACATGATACAGATAGATAGCAGCTAGATCTAATTCCACTTCTATAAGTATATATTTTAAATTTTAACTTTAAAAATTAGCACTTCTTCAAAATTATAATTTTAATTTTCTTTAGCATTTCAAGGGCATCAAAGGACATCTGTGTCATCCTAACACAACCACTATTTCCCCAATGTAATTTACTATTAGCTTGCTTTGCAATAGATGGATGTTTAGTACTACGTCGTGCTGTCTCTCTTGAGCTACTGCCCCAAAAGAACTAAAAAACATTAAACTAAGCAACCTCTGTCACAAATTGCCTCAAGTTTGTACAGAAATCACAGCAAAATGCTACTTATCAGATAGAGCCCCAGGAAGGGGAAAACATCAAATAGAATTACTCAGACAGACAAGTCTGACTTCTCTCCTTCCAAGCATTTCCACCAAAATACTACATGGGACAATAAATCATAATACACAATAAAATAAGAAAACAATTTTAAAAATCATTTCACTTTTCTGAGTATTCATCATAATTTAATACTTAACTAAATATGACTTCATATTAAAGATATGACATTTTATTCATTCAGACAAGTTACAGATGGGCTATAGTACACTGAGCCATCTGCAAGAAATATTAAAGACATTCAAGAATTCATAAAATCTGAATATGGGTGGGAAAATTAAAAGTACTTACCACTAAATCCCAATTATTTTGTTCAAGCAATGTAATAGCTTCATCAATGTTCTCAATGCCAGTACATGCCTGAAAGCAAAGTAAATAAACACTTTAGATGTAAGTTTATTAATGAGGTTAGACTTAAAATGTAAACAGCATTATATGTAATTTAAGCTCAAATATGTATACAAATAAAGCTATACACTAAACAGCTAACACTTCTAAGCATTTTATACATAAGGTTTAAAAATTGTTAGTTATAAAGTAAATTTACATTATACATATTTTATTATTACATAATAAAAGGAAATAAAAACAATTATAAAGATCGAGATTGTTTAAATATTGAGATTTAAAGCTCAGGATACTCTCTAGATCCCTAATTGCCAAGAACAATTTTATTAAAAAGTTTGTAAGACAATTATATCTAAATAACTGCACTTCAACTCAAAACTTGTACCATATGTAAAAATTAACTCAAAATAGGTAACAGGCTTAACATGAAAACCTAAAACTACAAAACTTCTAGATCTATGCTGTCTGCGTTAGTTATTACACACAGCAGCAAATAAGTCCTTGAAATATGATTCAAGTGAGTTAAAATTTGCTGTAAGTGTAAATTACACAACAGGTAGAACTTAAAAATTAAAATGTATACTATCTCATTAATTCAGTAATACTATCTCTCGGGGCTGGGGATTTAGCTCACCGGCAAAGCGCCTGCCTGGCAAGCGCAAGGTCGTGAGTTCGGTTCCCGGTACCGGAGAAAAACCAAAAAAAAAAAAAAGACCAAAACAAAAAGTAATACTATCTCATTCAGTAATTTTACTACTGAATGTTTAAATACTGATAGACTACCTTAAATATTATTTATATTAGTATGTTAATCACATACAATTATTTGCTTAACTATTCTATTAGCATAATAATAAAATTAATTACATTGACATCTTTATTTTTTTAGCATGGATGCTAACAATTTTTAAATTACATGTGACTTTCATTACATTTCTATTGCTGTTCTAGAAAAAAATAAAACATATTTGTGACCTAATTAAGTAAACGTTAAGACATAATAGCAAAAAAAAAAAAAAAAAAAAAATTGCTCTTTGACAGATTGCCCTTTAAAGAAAATGAAAAGGAAAATCACAAATTGGGAGAAAATAACTACAAAACCTATCTAACTGGAAAACTTGGAATCAGAACATAAGAACTTGGAAAATTCAATTTTAAAAAATTTAAAACAACCAAGATTCACAGAAATATAACCAAAGAAGATATATACATGATGAATAAGAACATTAAAAATGCTTGACATCATTAGTCATTAGGGAAATACAAAGCAAACAATGAGAGATATTACTTCTACATACTAAAGGAGTTAAATCCAAAAGACTGACAGTATCAAGAAATTTTGAGTATAAAAGGATGGAACTCCCCTATATTGCTGAATAGGACATAAAATCATGTAGCCACTTGGAAAAACCACTTGACAATTTTTTAGAAAAGTATGACCCAATAATACTGCTCCTAGGTACTTATTCAAAAAAAATGAACAGAGAAGCTATGAGACAGGAGAATCTGATTTCCAGAGTTATCATATCATACAACTAATATAGTCCACCTTTCACAAAAAATTGTGTACAGAGAAACAACAAAACATGACCAGTAAAGGGGGAAATTAATAGAAACTGTCCCTAAGTAAAAACAGATATCAGACTCAGTAAACAAAGTCTGTCAATTATTAAGTATGTTCACAAGGCTAAAAAAGAAAAATAGATTAAAAAAAAGAAAAGAAAAGAAACTAGGAGGACTGTGTCAAATAATAGAGACTGTTGGAAGAGGGATTAAAAATGATTAAGATGGGGCTGGGGATATAGCTCAGTGGCACAAGCGCCTGCTTGGCAAGCACAAGGTTGTGAGTTCGATCCCCAGTACCACAAAAAAAAAAAGAAAGAAATGATTAAGATGTGATATGTCTATGTACCAATCCCCCAAGATGAATGTAATTATTATATATTTTAAACAAATACTAATTTAAATTTTTTAATAGAAAATGCCAATAAAGAGAAATTATCCCAGACAGGATCAAATGGAAATTCTAGAGGTGAAGATTACAAGGACTGAAATGAAAAATCAACTATGGAATCTGGGCAGACAGAGGAAAGAATCATAGAACTTAAAGATATTCAATTGAAATTATCAACTATGGTAAGCACAAAGAAAAAGAAACATGAATAAAGCCTAAAAGATAAGTGTAACACTTAAGCATACAACATACACACAATAGGGGTACCAGCAAAGAGATTTTTAAAAAAGGGCAGAAAAAATATTTAAAGAAATAATAGCCAAAAATATTCCAGATTTGATAAAAAGTTAATAAATAATCTACAAATTCGAGCCAGACATGGTGTTGTGCGCCTAGAGTTCCAGCACCTGGAAGTCTGGGTGGGAGGATCACTTAAGTCTGGAAATTTAAGACTAGCCTACCAACATGGTGAAAACCTGTCTTTTAAAAAAAAGTAAGAAGAAACTCTGGGTTCAACTGTTAGCACTTGCGCGTGCAGCACACACACACACACACACACAAAGAAAATCAGAAGAGGTAATTATGATCAACAGGTTTCAGGAAAGATAAACACAAAGACATCAACACTAAAACACATCACAATCGAAGTGCCAAAGGCTGAGTTTTCTTGTTTTGTTTGTTCTCAGTACTGGAGGTGGAACCTAGAGCCTCACATAAGGTAAGCACACATTCTACCACCGAGCCACGTGCGCAATTCCTAGAGTATGCTGGAAGCAGTAAGAAGGAAAAGATTCAGGTACAGTCATGTAGTGCATAATAACATTTTGGCCAATAACAGAACGCACATACAATGGTGGTCTTGTAAGAAAAATTGCTACCTAGTGACATCATAGCGTTTGTACCTCCAGACATACCCATGTATTCGTGGTGATCCTGGTGTTAACAAGTTTACTATGCTACCAGTTACAGAAAAGTACATATAGCACAAATTATTATGAACAATACATAATAGCTGATAATGATAATAAATGGGTTAAGTAATACTAGTTTATATATCTCTATTATATTATACTTTTTATCATTAAGAATGTACTCCTACTTGGGAAAAGTTTTTCTACAAAACAGTATACTGCCAGGTGTGGTCGTGGACATCGTAATGCCAGCATTCGGGAGACTGAGGCAGTAGAATCACAAGTTTGATTTCAGCCTGGGAAACAGCAACTAAATGAGACCTAGTCTCAAAATCAAAAATAAAAAGAGCTGGGAATATAGCTCGGTGTTAAGGCCCAGGGTTCAATCCCTAGTACCACACATACCATAACAAAATTGAGCTCAACTTCAGGAAGAGTTCCTTTCATGCCTTGTGTTATAATGCTATCCTTACAATTCTTGCATTTGTCTGGGCTGGAATTTTAGGGATTTCATTAGTTATGGACCAAATTTTATTTGTATGAATTCAGTCTTAACCTTCTGAGAGTCTCGAAGTTCTAATTTTCTGAGGATGATGATGATATTCCTATTCCCCCTTTGGGGGACCTCCTTGGACCCTGTCCAGTGACAATTCCAAGAATTTCATTAGCACCTAATTTCCTGTATTAAATCCCATCCCACTTAAAATACCTAGATATTTATTATTTTTGTTTTCACCAAACTGTGACTGATCCAGAATGATCATCTTTAATTGAGCAATAACTGTATTAAAAACAAAACAAGGTAATAGTGGCCTCAAAGTAATAATACTCGGGAACAATCACTGCTGGCCAAACACGAATGACAAATTTATATTGTGAGGAGATCTAAAAAAGAAAGTCAAGTTATTCCACATATATATATATATATGAAAATGCATATGCTAAGCTAATGTATTGATTCTGAAAACGCATTTAGAGCGCTAGAATCAGAAAACACAAATGCCTACCAGATTTAGTAACTAAAAGAATCACTGCTAGTTCTACCTGGAACCCTTTATTTACCTTGCTTAGACAGAATTGAAATGCTTCTGTAAGTGTCTAAAATAACAATGGACTACCTGACAATGGTATAAGACAATATGAACATCAAAAGTGAAAATGTCAAATACACTAAAATAAAAATCTATGTATCTAAGTCAATTTTTTAAAAAATCGTACTTGCAAAATGCAAAAGAATCACATTCAGGTTACTTTCTAATTTGCCAACCAGGCACTATCTAAACCAAATGATCAAACTAAGGATCACAAATAGTAAGACAATGTCAGATTGTAAGCTTCTTGGTGGGATAAAAGATGAACTTCACACTATCACTCATGAGAACATGTGCCAAAAATGTTCATCTTAAATCCAATGAAGGGTCTAGACCAAAAAGAGGTATAGTGAGTGACAAGTCAAGTGGTATCATTTAAAAAAGAGAGAGCAAAGTTAAAATGCATTTATAAGACTATCCTGGACTCATTAATAAGTTAATATTACTACCTTATCCTCTTCCATTCTATAAGAGGTAGGACTCTTCCACACTAAAAGAGACTAGTGATACAACTATCAAATGTAACACGTAACTGCAATTGTACACCTATTAAAGGGAAAATCAGTAAGGATAAATCTTGCTTTAATTTTAGTGTCTAGGTTTTGCAAGATATAACAGAATTATTAACCTGCTGAGGTGTAAGTATTGTATACACAGGAAACTGCCCTCATTCTTAACTTTGCACACTAATCTATTTAACATGTGACTGTGTAATGACTTCATAGTTTTATATTCTCTGTTTCCTCCAAAATTAAGACCAAAAAATAATCAGCCTTAAAAACTAGAGATCAAAACTGCCAACCCAAATCACCTTGCTTTAACTGCCATTACAGAGTAATGAGAATAGTGGAAGTGCAAGAGCAATAGTGGAAGTATAATCTTCTGCTTGAAACTACTCTAAAGATAACAATATGCAATAGGATAACCATGAATAATTTCCTATCATCTTGTTGGGAAATTCTGTATCGTTTCTATTGGTTTTTTTTATTCTCTTTAAAATAAAAAAAAAAATTATAAATCTTCTGCTTGATACTGGGCCCCACCATGGTAATGACC